GCAGGACCTACCCAGAGAATCAGTGATGCCTGAAATGGAGGCAGAGATGATGACGTGGAGCGATGGAGCAGCTGGAGACTTCAGACCCAGAGAGGGAGAGTGACTGCATGTTGAAGACCTGGGGGGTACGGGGGGAAGGATTGCAGGGTATACCCTTTGGTTGGTTGATGATGCATGGAGGGGATTGTAACCATGACAATGAGACGATATACAATAGAATGAATGTAAAATTAATGTTCTCCCATGTAAACTATCACATAATTCACAATAAAACATTTAAGAAAAAAAATCCAATAGGACAAATATAAAACTGATGTTCTCCCATGTAAACAATCACTCAATTCACAACGAAAACTTAAAAAAAAAAAGAAGAAATTGCAATACAAATAAACATCTTCAAAACAAAAGAAAAAGAAACAATATGTCCTATGGTGCTGTAGGATAAACACTGAACTGCTGATCGCAAGATCAGCGGTTCAAACTCACCTGTCATTCCTCTGACACCCTATACAGTAACACGATGAGTCAGAACTGACTCAACAGCACTTAAAAACAACAGGAAACTCAGTCCTGGTTTCCCAGTCTTCCCAGAGTGGCATCATTTTCCTGATCGTCAGGGCCCAATGTTCTTTATCTCCATGAAAAGTAAGATCTATTAAGTAACTGAATAAAGCCCCCACTATTGAGATACATCATCTGTTGGGCAGAGATATGGTGGTCTGATAAAGTTAGAACTGAACCACCAAAGACTTTCTTCGAAAACCTGAGTCAGAGGACATCACAGAACATGCACTACAACATCAAGTACCTGTCACCACGATAAGATGCTAGAAATGAAAATGGTTTAATTAGATTGTCAAATCCACTTCTACCTGCCAGGGTAAAACAGACACAGGCTAAAAATTGAATTGGAAAATACCAATCACTGTTTTGCAACCTAAAAGCTTAATTAGAAGTTAAGGGGGTTGCTGTTCTTTCCACACAACCCATTCTCAGACAGTTGCAAGCATGCTGAGCACCAACTGTGATGAATTTCAATGTGTACTGTTTCTTCAAGCAATATCCTGCCAGGCTGGCCTATATGATAACAAAATCTCAAATCTTGTTATTTAGAAGAACAAGGAACAGATTTCTGGGACATTCCCACTCTTCAAAAAGCTACAGAGACCAGTTGGAAAAATATAAAATAGCAGCCAAGGGCAAAATGGAGTTTAATCTCTACCCTGCCTTAGGCTTTTCTCTTCCCATTGTAAGTGGTATACAGAGGTCCAGCAACATGGAGCAAATATAATGAGAGAGAGAGAGCAAGGGCAAAAAACACTTACTTATTCCACCCATGGATGGTTTTCCATATTAAAATGCTGTCTGTCTTTATATTTTAAAAAGCTATGAATTCTTTCATTTCTCACATAATTAATTCCTGCCAGCTGGTATGCAAAACAAAGACAAGATGGGTAACAGTAGTATCATTGTTGTTGTTGTTGTTAGGTGCCATCGAGTCAATACCGACCCATAGTGACCTTATGCACAGCAGAACGAAACACTGCCCGATCCTGGGCCAACCTCACTATTGTTGCCACACTTGAGTCCATCAATGCTGCCACTTTGCCAATCCATCTCATTGGGGGTCTTCCTCTTTTCCTCTGACCCTCCACCTTACCAAACATGATATCCTTCTCCAGTGACTGGTCCCTCCTGACAATATGTCCAAAGTATGAGAGACGAAGTTTGGCCATCTTGGCCTCTAACGAGCACTCTGGCTGCATTTCTTCCAAAATGGATCTATTGGTTCTTTTGGCAGCCCATGGCACTTTCAATATTTTCCTCCAACACCATAACTCAAAGGCATCAATTCTTCTATGGTCTTCCTTATTCACTCTCCAGCTTTCACATGCATATGAGTTTATTGAAAATAAGATAATTCTATATCAACAGTGTTTCCTTAACACAGTACAATTGAAATAGTTTTCAAGTTGGACAAATGATGTAGGACCTAGCTCCTAGGTATTCATTTGGCAACTGCTCTGAAACTTACCACAGACAGTTATCTCATTGTAGGGCAAGGTTCTTATGTGAGAGACATTCGGCATTTTCATCAAGACTTTCTTGGCCTCATGTAGCACCGCTAAGACATAATGAGGGTGAAGAATCTGTGAGAGGAAGACAGAGGAAATAGACATAATAAGCTAACAAGAAAAGCATGAGCATGTAGAAAATTATAAAGGTGGAACATAAGACCACATTTCAGGTAGTTGTATTTCAGAATGATCTCTAAATTATACTCAAATAGGTTATTCTAGCACAGTGTCTGACGTATTACAGGTCCATGGTAGATAACTGTAAGTTATGAGTGACTGAACCAATGCATAAATGATTCCTAGGATGTTGACAGTTTCTTGTTCTTAATTGGCATTATCCATTCAGGGAATCTGAAGTCTTTGTGTGGCATTGAGAGTTAATGCACTGGACTGCAAGGTAAGTTTGAACTACAAGGTCAGTGGTTCAATCTCACCAGTTGCTCCTCAGAAACCCTACACAGGGTCACTATGAGTTGGAACCAACTCAACGGTACTTAACAACAACAACGAATTCACAGAATCAACGCTTATTGGTCCTGACAACCCAAGAGAAGTAACAGATTATCCAAAGGCAATGTGGAGCAAAAAAAAGAGAGAGAGAGAAGGAGGAAAAGAAAACAGAAAACAGAATGAAAGAGAAGTGTTACTTTGTATTTGTTTGAGATACAAACTAGGTGTTGCTTGGTTTGGAGCTCTCATAAGGTAGCCAGACAAGTTCCCAAGGAACACCTGAGTCAGGTATCCCAGGTGTGGCTCCAATATTTGATGCATAAACTTGAGAATTTACAGAAAATCAAGCACATTAATTCAAAAGTCTAAGGATCAACCATATTCCACCCCCCAACAAAAAAATGTGGATTTATGACAATTCATCGCACTGATCCCCAGTTATAGTGTTGATGAGTTTTGTATAGATAAACTGTTTTCTCCTCCAGATTTTAAGCTAGTATATCAATCTTCGTTTTTAATAAAATATTCCAAATAAGAAAATATTTTTAAAAAACAAACAACTACAGCAGGTACTTATGCAGCTATCACAGAAATTCAATAGATGTTGATATGACATTAGGGGCCAGGACTCTTTCGACCTCCTATATGGGAGCCACCAGCCACCCAGGGCTATTGATCATTGGAACTGGGGCCAGTCCAAAGTGAGATGTGCTGTAAGTGCAAAATACACACTGGATTTCAAAGACTTTGGTATGAAAAACAAAAAGAAGATAAAGTATTTCATTAATACTTTTGTACATAATTACATATTGAAATAGTTGTTTTGATATATTGGGTTCAATAACAACATGATTAAAAATTAATTTCACCTATTTATTTTTACCTATTTAATGCAACTACTAGAAAGTCTGGAATACTGGTGTGGCGCTGTTAAGACCAGCACTGAACTGCTAACCATAAGGTCATCAGTTCAAACCCATGAGCTACTCCTTAGAAACTCCATACAGGGTCTCTATGAGTCGGAAGCGACTTGGCGGCACTTTACAACAACAACTAGAAAGTTTAAAATTACACACACGGCCCACATTATGTTTCTATTGAACTGCATTGGTTTAGATTATTTAAGGCTGTGAGAGAGGGTCATGTCTACATATGGTTCAGATATTGTTTTGGGAATAGAATTTAAGATAGCTGGAAACCTTCCGACCAATCATGCCTCACAGTGCCCTGAAGCGTAGTGGTTATGAATTGGGCTGCAAGCCGCAAGATCAGCAGTTCGAAACTACCAGCTGTTCCACGGGAGAAAGATGAGGCGTTTTGTTCCCGTCAAGATTTACAGCCTCGCTATGAGTCAGAACCGACTCCACGGCACACAATAACAACATTAGAATAACAAAATGATTTTCTATCCCAGATCCCAAAAACATTTGATTTAAGTTTTAAGAATTTTCATTATTAAGTAATTCATTTTCTCAAAAGATATGAGACAGGATTTGAAGTAATATGAGAATTAGGAGGAAAGAAAGGGGCCTTTGGATTTTGAGTGAAGAGAGACCCATATTTCCTCTTCAAAACCTAATGGACTGACTGCAAAGTATTTTCACCACAAAATAATCTATCTAATTCACAAGTAGAATCAAAATTTGAATGTGAACTTCATTGTTCTTGTACTTGTTGTCAAGTACTGTCAAGTTGGTTCTGACTCATAGTGACCCTGTATAGGGTTTCCAAAGAGCAGCTGGTGAGTTTGAAGCACTGACCTTGCAGTCCAGAGCATCATATTGCAGCCACACACCAAGACTCCAACTTTCTATTGTTATTGTTGCTGTTAAGTGCTGTCTAGTCAGTTCTGACTCATAGCAACCCTGTATAGAGGTTCGAAGGAGCGGCTGGTGAATGTGAACCACTGACCTTGAGGTTCAAACCGAACCTGAGGTTCAGTGCATTATCCCACAGCACCACAGAAAGAGTCCAACTTTCCATTGGACACATTTAAAAGGAATAGGCAAAGTACTTTTGTATAATGATGCATTTCAAGTGGTACATTTAATATATTGATTCCCAGTGCTGGCTTTTGTTACCTCAAGTTGCTATTATGATTGTTCTGGTCCCTTTGTAGCACTAATCAGAGTTAATTACTGTTTGAAGAGGCCGTTTTGTTTTGGAAAGAAGTTAAATGAACAAATAATCATTGAGAATATATCACAACAACAGAAAATTCCCGTTATTACAACAGTTTTTCTGGGTCCTGTTTAGATTGCCTAAAATCTCTTTGGTAAATATTGTTGTTGTTGTTAGGTGCCATTGAGTCTTTACCGACTCATAGTGACCCTATGCACCACAGAACGAAACACTGCCTGATCCTGGGCCAACCTCACAATTGTTGCTACACTTGAGTCCATTGATGCTATTGATAATATTACCAATGATGTCTGTTGGTAATATTAAAACTTGTTTATAAAGTTATCTTTCAATTGAGTGATAATTGCTGTGTTTACAAATACAATACTAAATATGCAAAATAATTAACTCAGATATTGGTTTCTACATTTATATACATATTCAGATTAGAAACAACAAATAAAATATTCACATTATTTTAAAAGTGTTAAAGGCAGAAAATACAATTTTTAAAGGATGTTTCTTTTTTAAAATACTAGTTTTCAATGGAAAACTGAAACAAAAATTTAAACAGTGAAACATATTATTTACAACAATGCAAATTAATTTTCTCTCCTTCCCAGACTTCAGTTTCCCCAAACCCCTCCCAAGAAATGCTGTTAAGAAAGCCTTGAGTATTTTTCCAAAAAAAATTCAATACATTTGCAAGCATACACAAATCCCTTAGTAAAATGGAGTCTATCCATACAATGGAATATTATTCAGCCAAAAAGGGAATGAAGTCTTTATAAATGCTACAACATAGATGAATCTTAAAAACATTATGCTAAGTTAAAGAATCCAGACACAAAAGGCCACATGCTATATGATTCCACTTACAGAAAATATCCAGAATAAGAAATCCTTAAGAGACAGAAAGTAGCTCTGTGGTTACCAGAAGGTGGCGGGGAGAGGAGAGGGGGAAATAGAAGTGACAGCTAATGGGTATGGGGCTTCTTTTGTGATGATAAAAATGTTATGCAATTAGGTAGTGGTGATGGTTGTACAATCTTATGAATATACTAAAAAACTGTATATTTAAGAATACTGAATTTTATGGTATGTAGATTATATATCAGAGAAAGAAAGAAAGGGAAAAAGAAAGAAAAGGGGAACCACTGTAATTACACATTGAGAGGAGGTAACTACACCTGAGAAGACTTCTATTTAATTAAACAAAGCAGACAGCAGCTTTCATTTAAGTGAAAATTTTTTGCTACAATATTTTCATTCATCTGTTCAACAGTTTTTTAGCACTTATATATACAAAAATCAAGGCAGCATCTGCTTCCACTTGCCTTTTGTTCCTTGAAGCCCTCAATAAGTATCTCAATATCATTAAAAGTGAGTGGAAATTGCAGGCGAGGACCATTATAGGAGTCCGGGACATTTATCATCTTTGTATAGTCCTCTTCTTCATACGTGTCTGGAAAGCTGCTACCAAAAAGTTGAGTTACTAAATCTGGAAAGGGAAGGACAGAAAGAGGCGAAATCAACATTCCCATGCATAAATGTAATAAATATCTTCTTCAAGATCTAGTCCTTGCAAGGCAATATGTTAAATGTTAAGAATACCAAACTATCTCAAATAAAATAGAGAGAAATGGTAGATTCTAAGACCAGGAGGTACAGTCACATGTGTCTACATTTTACCAAAGCAGTAAGTACATAGTTGTTGTTGCTAAGTGCCATTGAGTTGGTTCCAACCCATAGCAACCCTGTACAGGCTTCTGAGGAGCAGCTGGTGAGCTTGAACTACCAACTTTGTGGTGAAAATCATTTTGCAGTCCAGCGTATTAACCCACAGCCCCACACCAGGACTCCAGGTATATAATTGTTGTTGTTGTTGTTAAGTGCTGTCAAGTCAGTTCCGACCCATTGCAACCCTGTAAAGGGTTTCTGAGGAGCGACTTCCTGAGCTTGAACTGCTAACCTCGCAGTTCAAATGGCTTTGCAGTCTGGCGCATCAATCCACAGCGCCACACCAGGACTCCCCAAGTATATAATTAGTGGGAAGGAAAAGGAGAAGTACAATGAAAACTGGTCAATCAATTTATTTTGATGCTCTGATGCTCCCACTCTAAATTTTTGGCTCACTCTTATAACTCAGATTTTTACAAACAGAGCTGAAGACATAACAATACATTGCATTCAATTTAAACGCCTATTGCTATTTTCAGGACCTACAGAAAATCGAATTGCAACAGTCATTCAATTTTTCCAGTTAAAGACCTCAGAGGTTTTTACTTAGCTGTAATTGATTTCTCTATTCACATAAAAACATGACATGATTTTTTTTGTTCTTTGTAACAAAGCAGATAAAGTCAGATGACAAACCATAGGCAGATAAACCCAAAGGACACTTCGCAGAGGCATTTCTATAGAAAAGATTGACTGCACTGTTCATTTCAGTAGGTGCTGAGACTCTGGGTCCCTTCTTGCTGGACTGCCTATGGAACAAACAGAAATCTGACCAATTTGGGTGGAGAAAGATGAAAGGGGATGTGGTAGATTGATGGCAAAGGTGACCCCAGTTCTTTATCCCAGCATCCATTCATCCTCTTTTTAAGGTAATTTTGCAGTGACTCCCATCAACCTGGATCACTTATGTTGGCCCACAGAAGGTTGTGAAAGTGATATGTACCAGATCCAAGCCTAAACCTCAAGAAGAGTTGCATAGTTTCATGCTTGCTCTCCCTCTGGATACTGCCACTACCATAAAGCTCAGGCTAGCCTACTGAAAGCCAAAAACCATGAAGAGCAGAACTAAGTGATCCTAGCTAATGCTATCTTAGATCACTGAACAGCCACAGACATCCAGATATGTGTGAGCTCCGAGCAAGACCAGAAAATTGCCCAACCAAGCCTGCAAAGATCAGCAGACATGTCCAGCTAGTCTTTAGACTTGTGAGTAAAAATAATATCAATTATTATATGCAGGAGCCCTGGTAGCATAGTGGTTAAAAATGCTAACTAAAAGGTTAATGGGTTCAAATACACCAGTTGCTCCATGGAGAAAAGATATAGCAGTCTGCTACTGTAAAGATGTTGTTGTTGTTGTTGTTAAGTGCCGTCGAGTCGGTTCCGACCCATAGCGACCCTGTACAGGGTTTCCGAGGCTGTAAATCTTTACGGGAGCAGAACGCCTCATCTTTCTCCCGCGGAGCAGCTGGTAGTTTTGAACCGTATGTACAGCCTTGGATATCCTATGGGTCAATTGTACTCCATCTTATAGGATTGCTATGTGTTGGAATCAACTCAATGACAGAGAGTTGTTTGTTTGTTTGTTTGTTTGTTTGTTTACTACTGTATGCCACTGAGGTGCTGTAGCTGTACTATACACAGCATTAATGTAATTATTTTGAGCTACTATTTTTTAACCCGTTGTGTCAACTCATTTCATTATTTCTATGTTCTTTACCAATATATTTATGCAATGATCATAACAACCATGTAAGGTAAGTATTGTTATTAACCCCGTTCTATAGATGATGAACAAAGACATAGCATGTACGTGGGAATGATGGAACTCAATCCCAGAGAAGTTAACTCCAGAGCTCAAATCCTAATTACTTACTACATATGAAAATATAATTATTTCTTACAAAATATACAGTATTGTTTATATGTTGTTGCTAAGTGTTGTTGAGTCAGGTCTGACTGATAGCAACACTGTACAGGGTTTCCAAGGAGCAGACGGTAGGTTTGAACTGCCAACCTTATAATTCCCAGCCCAGTGCTGATCCTACAGCACCACACTTAAAGTTAATTTCATGAACAATCCAAACTGCGAGGTATAAACATGAAATTAACATTTATTTTTCCCACCATTGCCTTCTCACACATGCTCTGTCAACAATCTCTTTTCCATCGGCTAACTGATGCAGCAAATCAATTCCATCACTTCCAATTATTAAAAATCAATCTGGCTGCTTAAGAATTCAAAAAAAAAAAAATTGGGGTTTTGGGTTTTTTTTGTTGTTGTTTTTAAGTTAAAGCTCAGTCTAGTCATTCCTTCCATAGAATTGAGAGTCCACATTCCTCATAAATTCAATGATAAATGTGGGTAATTCCTGACTTACAACATATTTCACTTACAATGAACTAAAACTTTTTTACTTTTTCTTTTGGTATGTCCTATCATTAGTGGTGGTGGTAGTGGTGGTGTGCTGTGGAGTCGGTTCCAACTCATAGTGACCCCGGTTTCTGAGGCTGTAAATCTTTACAGGAGCAAAAAGCCTCATCTTTCTCCCGTGGAACAGCTGGTAGTTTCAAATTGCTGACCTTGAGGTTAGCAGCCCGATTCGTAACCACTACGCTACCAGAGCTCCTTTATTAATGATAAATTATACTGATTAATTATACTAATGGTATAAGGAACTAAATTAATGCTGCAGCAAGTAATTTACTGATGCTATCATTCTCAGATGTTCACTTGCAGATGATCAATTGTATGATTTACTGTTCAAACACTGCTACATGTATTTAGTTTTCTAAATTAAAGTTGCTTGAAAACATGGATCCTAATGCCTGTTGCTTTGCTAAAATTGATAGATTCAGGAGGCAGTGAGATGAAATATATGAAGAAAAAAAGAAATGGCCCATACAGACAACTCTCAGTAATTTTTTGACAAGACATGCCATCTTTATTCTTGGAGAAAATCCAAATAACCTAGAGCTTTCCACAAGTGGAGTTATTACTGCAAGTCACAACATGCCAGTATCACTCAGTTCTTTATCATCAGAGTACATTTTTATGATTTGTGTATTTTATGCATATATATGTATTAAATATATATCTATAAGTTTATGTGTAATGTTTCCAATCCCAAAAAACAAAGATCAGATGCATAAAGATACTAATAATAAAAGGCAATAACAATGAATACTAAAAAGTCAGAACCAACTTATAATGGACTAAGTTGGGTACTACCTGTATATAAAAAAAATACCATTTCTCTATGCCAATTCTTAGTAAAACCTGCTCAGTATAAAATATCAGGTAACACCAACTCATAACTCTTCTGCTGGGTTTTAGCCACATAGAAAAGAATAACATAGATCCTCTTCTGGTAGATAACGCATGTCATGCAGGAAAACAATCAAAAGTTTTCATATTTCTATTGCATGTACTGTCCTTATAGACTATAATTATTGTAAATAATAATGTAATGAATGTGAACAATATTTGAAGTTTTGTGCAATATTTAATTAGAACTTATCTTTACCTATTTGATTTATCATTCTGTCAACATGAATTGAAACTAATTAAATATAATAAAATATTGAATTAAATCAAATGATAGCTTTACAAGTTGCTCTAAAGAAAATACTTCAAAAAAACAAAACAAAACCCACACACAGTCTTTTCTTTTATCCAGTACAGTTGTAAAATCTGGACAGGGGAAAATTTAAAGCCCATAATTAAAATTTTTTTAAAACATTCTGTCTCTACCACCCACATACCACTTTGAAAGCAAGCTTCAGATAATGCTAGGAAAAGAACAGCACCAATTGAACCTCATATATAATTATTTCATCTCTCAATTATGAATCTCAATCTAAACCATTGGTGTCCATGTAATATTTTCACTAGATGCCAAAATGAAATTTAATAAAATTTAACACCAGTTCCTGATTTTTATGATACTTTCTTAACATAATAAACATTTTAAATAAATAACAAGGTTTTCCCATTATATCATAAAAAAACAAGGATACCCACTTTCACTGTTTTACTTTAATATTGTTCTGGTATCTCTTACCAGTGCAATAAGACACAGAGCTAAAATAGGAGCTAGGATAGAAATAAAAATGAAGTTGCTTATTATGGCCAATGTGATTAAATACCTAAATTCAAGAAAAAGTAAAGTCTTCCAGAAATGATACCAAATTCAATATAATACAGAGGTTAATCAACCTGGACTTGAACGAGAGCTTCACCACTGATGAGATGAACATCTTCGGTAAGTTATTCTCTAAGACTCAGTATCCTCATCTACAAAACAAGATACTAATACTAATTTCATTGGTTTATCATGAAGACTAAGGAGCTCTGGTAGCGTAGTGATTACGAATAGGGCTGTGAACCTCAAGGTCAGCAGTTTGAAACTACCAGCTGTTCCATGGGAGAAAGATAAGGGTTTCTGCTCCCGTAAAGATTTACAGCCTCGGAAACCCTGTACAGGGTCGCTATGAGTCGGAACCAACTCCACGGCACATAACACCACCAAAAACAACATCATGAAGACTGAATGAGATGCATTTAAAGCACTTAAATATATGGCACATGGTAACATTTAATACATGTTGTTGTTGTTATGTACTGTGGATTGACACAGTAGCAGCAGCAATGGACTCAAATATAACAATTGCGAGTATGGCACAGGACCAACCATTGTTTCATGCTGTTGTACATAAAGTTGCAATGAGTTAGAAACGACTCGGCAACACCTAACAACAACAACAATATTACATATCCACCAGAATGGCTAACATGAAAAAGACAGACAATTCCAAGTGTTGACGGAGATATGGAACAACTAAAACTCTCATACACTGGTGGGAATATAACTTGGTACATCCATTGTGAAAACTGTCAGTATCTAATAAAAGTGAATGTGCATACCATATAAGTCAGAAATTCTACTTATGGATTGTGGCACATCCTTATAATAATAGCCTCCAATGAATCATGCCTCTCTGAGTCCAGATCCCTTCACAATGTAATGCCACCACTTCTCCCATCAAGACATGGATCTTTTCAAATCCCTGGAATCTGAAACTGAAATTGTTACTTACTTTGAGCAATAAAATACTCTGTTGTAAAACTCAAAACTGACTTTGAGTTCTAGAACCTGTGCCTTAAGAGATTTTACAGCTTCTACCTTTGGACTCCTGGTGTGGCGCTGTGGGCTAATGCACTAGACTGCAAAGCCGTTTGAATAGCAAGGTTGGCAGTTGAAGCTCACCAGTTGCTCCTTGGAAACCCTATATAGGGTCGGAACTGACTCAACGGCACTTAACAACAACCTTTGCCCTCTTGGGGCCCAGTCACTATGTAAAGAAGTACAGGATATTCTGCTGCACAGAGAGGTTGCTTGAGGAGAACTGAGTAACTCAAGTTAAGAGACGAGACCAATGACTTGGCATGTGAGTAAAACTATTTGGAGTGAGCCCAACTGACTCCACATGGAGCAGAGAAAAGTCATCCCTAGGATCCCTGTTCAAATTCCTGACTCACAGAATCAAAAGCAGTAAAATGGCTGTTGTTTTCAAGCCACTAAATTTTGCTTGGCCTTCAGCAAAAGATAACTGAAAGTAAGTACAAAGCAAAAGAAATCAATATATATGTTCATAACAAAGAACAAGTATACGAATGTGCATAACAGCACTATTTAAATTACCCAAACTGTAAACAACCCAAATGTCCATAAACAACAGAATGTATAAATGATATTCATAAAATGGAATAGTATTTAGCAACAAGAAAGACTAATTGCAGCAACATGGATGACTCTCACAAATATAATGTTGAACAAAAGAAGCCAGATTCAAAAGGGGTATATGGTATATGCTTCCAATTATATCAATAAGTTCAAAAACAAGTAAAATTAATCTAGGGTATGTTGTGGTGTTGTTGTTAGGCACCACTGAGTCAATTTCAACTCAAAATGACACCTATGTCAGAGTAGAACTGCTCTCTAGGGTTTCATAGGTTGTAATCTTTATGGAAGCAGATCACCAGGTCTTTCTCCTGTATAGCCACCTTAAGGGGGTTCAAACCCCAACCGTTTAGAAGTCAGGATAGGAGTTATGGGGGTAATGGGTGCTGAGTAGACACTGGAAGGGGGCAGGAGATGCTTCTATGGATCTGATGACATTTTATTCCTGTCCTGTGTGCAAGTCATGTGGCTGTGTTTACTTAGAGAAAATGTATTACATCATATGTTTATGATCTGTGTACTTTTCTATAATGTATATCATACTGTAAGAAAAAATTTACATAAGAAGATCAAACCACTGTCCCCTTCTTTGGTAAATGTATTTTTTAATACTTTTTAATCATCTGTAGAAATTTTTAAATGCATGTTTTTAAAAATACAGAGTCTGAGTAAATAGCTCTGGGCTATAACCCAGCCATCTGTGGCTATGAAACTCAGTAAGTGATTCTGATGCACAGTCTGGATTGAAATATTAGGTCATTAGCAGAAAGAGTGTTGTTTCATTTCATCATTATTGTATTCCCTCCAAAAAAATATTCTTGCCAAAAAACATGAAGCACAAACAACTGTCTTTCAAATTGCAATTATCTAAAAGACAGAAAATGGCAATGTACCCACTTCCACCCACATCCCACGCCTCAGGTTTGGCTATTCCACCATTTAGAAAGCTTCTACAGATCATGAAAGGCTTTAATTAGTTTCATGCATATGCACTAGTTCAAATCATGCCATTAACACATCATTCTTTCACCACATTGAAGGGTATTTATCAGATTATTTTAAATATACTCATTCAAATATACAGTTTAATTACAGCAAATTAATGGTTGGCCCAAATTAAAGCAAAATGAGTTTTTACATCTAATATCTATCTTGGAGATAACAACAGGCAGATCTTAATTTGCTAGGAATATGCATGCCTTGTGAATAATTATAATTTAAAATCATTTGTGAACCACACCTATGTTGTCCATATCTGCTTCAGAATGCCTAGAGAGAGAAATAGAGACAGAGACAGAGGCAACAAAGAGATGATGGGGCAAACTATGTTGAGTCTGTAATTCCCCCGCCCCTACCCTAATCTGCTGCTTGAAATAGGATATTTTGAGCTCTCAGTGCAGAAGTTTTGTGTATGAAAAATAAGAACCTCTTTACTAAGCTACTGCTGCACATCAATAGACTAGGGTTCAGAGGAGATATTCAACAAATATGATAAGTTAATTTTTTGAAAAGTGAGAATTTTAAGCGGCAGGTTTTGCCTGCACCATTCAGAAAGGGTACTGATTTCATCAGTTGTTTGGTGTCACATAGCAAGACACGTAGTCCTTTTCAATTTCTTAGGGTTATTCCATTTTCAGAATTTACATTATTTGATGAGGGCAACTTCATAACTATTTTTCAAACTACTAAAATATTTTTACTTACTTGGATCTTTCTCACGTGCTTTTGCGTAGTTTTCAAACATGAAGGAAAAAAAGTTGGAGAGCTGAACAAAATAAAAATACATTAATCATTTAATGCACCACCAACAACAGTAACTGTCTAAAACAAATGCTGGGTGCCCTATCCCAGTCCCCTTCACCTGTCTGGCCCACTCTTCACCTAACAGTTGCTGGTGCTAATGTATCACCTCTCCCCTCTGAAGAATTGCCCTTAGAGGATGGGAGACCCTGCACCCAAAGTTTCAGCCTCCCTGGTAACTGCCCATAGACAATAACTGAAGGAAGCAAGGCTATAACAGCCCAGCCTCAACTCACCCTGTATTAACCTCTGGGACAAACTCTGGGATCACTCCCAGGGAGATCAGGCTGAAGTCACGTTTCTCCAGACCCCACTTTTTGCCCAGCTTCTTGCCCCACCCTCTTGATTTCCTCACTCCCATGTAGGGTTTCCCTGACAGCACTCTCAATAAGTCACTTGCACCAGAATCTCTATCTCAGACTCTGCTTCTCGGAAGCCCAACTTAAGACAGTGACTAATTTTGTTCAATATAACCTCTTCTCTCCTGTTTGGTGGTGAGATGTTAAGAGACACTCTTAAGTGTCAATAAAAGAAGGGAGGAAAGTAAAGGTAGAAACCCACTAGCATTCTTCTGACTTTCATCTAGGTGCTGCCTCTGTGCCTACCATTGATCTGCAAAGTCCTGCATTTCAACTTTTTCTTTAAGGCCTGTCTCTCAGGAGGAGTGAAGACTGAAGTAATCAATCTCGGAGCAGACAAGAGGGGGACTTTCCATATGAATATCAAAATATATGGTTTAAAAACTGTTGATGGCTTTATCAATTACAAGCCAACAGAAACCACATTAAGATACCACTTTGTGTCCACTTGTTGGTGTTAGCTGCCTTCCAGTCTGCCTATATTCACGGCAATCCCAAAACTAAATGCTGCATGGCCCTGGGCCATGCTCACAGGTTAGGGATCAGTTTTGCTCAATAGGGTTTTCATTGGCTGATTTCCAGAAGAAGTTCGCCACACTTTTCTTCTTATTCTGCCTTAGTCTAGAAGCTCTGCTAAAACCTGTTCAGCATCATTTGTTGTTGTTGTTAGGTGCCCATCGAGTTGGTACCAACTCATAGCAACCTTATGCACAGCAGAATGAAACAATGCCTGATCCTGGGCCACCCTCGCTATCATTGCCATAGTTGAGGCCATTGATGCTGCCACTTGGCCAATCCATCTCGCTAGGGGTCTTCCTCTTTTTCTCTGACCCTCCACCTTACCAAACATGATATCCTTCTCCAACGACTGGTCCCTCTTGACAATATGTCCAAAGTATGAGACATGAATTCTGGCCATCCTGGCCTCCAAGGAGCACTCTGGCTGCACTTCTTCCAACACAGATCTGTTAGTTGTTTTGGCAGCCCATGGCACTTTCAATATTCTTCTCCAACACCATAACTCAAAGGCATCAATTCTTCTACGGTCTTCCTTATTCACTGTCCAGCTTTCACATGCTATGAAGTTACTGAAAATGACATGGCTTGGGTCAGGCGCACCTTAGTCCTCAAGCTGACATCTTTGCTCTTCAACACCTTAAAAAGGTCTTGTGCAGTAGATTTGCCTAATGCAATACGTTGTTTGATTTCTTGACTGCTGCTTCCATGAATATTGATAGTTGATCCAAGAAGAATGAAGTCCTTGACA